AGGAAGCCGCGACCGCGTGGCAGCAGGGAAAATGGCCGCGGATCCGGTTCATAACTTGAGGTGGAGTTCGCATGTCGAGGTAAATTTTTGGGGCCGGAGCTGGTCGAATCCTGAAAAATTCATAAGGAGGGGCGTTCGTAACTAGAGGTACCACTGTATACAGTTGTTTCCAAACTTGGAAATTAAGCTATAGAGTTCCTAATTTTCTCCAAAAAGTATAGAGGGCTTTCCTACTTAATGGCTAGAACATTAGCCAGGAGAAAGACATAAGGCCAGATGTATATGGTGGTCTGTTTGGCTCTTGGAGAGAATATCTTCCATGATGGAACTGCACTTCTTCAACTATGCCACAAGAGGATCTTGAAACAAAGCCACAATGTTTATCCTCTTGTCTACTTTTGTTGCATGTAAAGATGATTTCTTTCACCATCAAGAGACAAGTAATGATACTATCTTGAGGAAAAAGAAAAACCTAATGTAGGATGCTCAAATGAAACCTGCTGTCCTCAGATATCACCCTTTCTTAGAAATGCCAGCCTATATCTGGACCCTGAGAATTGGGAAAGGAGGGTATGATGCTAAAAAAGTATCAATTGGCTTATCCCATTAATGCACATTGTTTTAGAAATTGCTCTGTCATCATCACATGCAAGAATGAAGTGTGCTTCCAGTTATAATCCAAATGATGTTTTATCCTTAAAATATCAAAGGTGTGAAAAAGCTGCTGCTATTATTGTCATGAGCACGTTCATTTATCTTTCCATTGATCTTAAATGTTCACAATAGTTAATTGAAGAAGATGATGCAATTTGAATAATTTTTTTGAGCTGCATATCTATTTCCTGCTCTGGTATCTCTATTTCCTATTCAGAAAAGCAGGTGCAAGTCATTAATGCTTGTTTATGAGGCATAAAACTTCTTTAATGCTTCTTTTATGAGGCATTGCATTAATAGTGCATCATGTAGAAATCTAATATTATTTGCAGAACTACATTTGTGCTGCAAGTATTAATTGATTTAATTATTTCACAATAGCTTGCACAATTAAGTTAATGCAAGAGATTTTATAATGTATCTAATTATATATAGGTGTCTTATTAGAAATATTTTCATTGTCATAAATAGATTGCAACATCTTTACTCACTGGGTATGAAATGACTTAATTATTATACATATAGTAGTAAAAAATATGGTATTGTGGTTGTAATTAAAAATACTTAACGGTTGTTCTTTCAGACTAAGGCAGGACTTATAGTATCTTTTAGAATTGTACAGGCATTGTTGTGTCTATATCATAACAATGAGCACAGGCTTTATATCATTGCCGTGATGGTCAGGTGAAGTTGGAGGGGAGGCTGTAGTACACTAGTGGAGAAAAAGTCTAAACTCCTAGGAATCTATTTAGGAAAGGAAGCTTTTGCATTCTTTGTGTTCCTATTTACTGCAAGAACAATTACTGTTTACAATTCCAATAGAGCAAGTAGACAGAAGTTCTAATACATACAATGGTGAAAGAGGACATTTTCTAGTGAACCATCTCATACTGAATCTTACTGTTTTATCTGTTAAGATAAATAAGCCATTCAGAAATGAAATTCATATAACATCATAGTATAGTTCCCTCTCATATTTCAGATAGGACATTATCATTCCAAATTTCCACCTGTTTAGCTAGACATGGAACTGCTCTTGATTGCTGCTTCATTACTATAATTTCTATATCTTAGGATAATTGGCTTCATAAAATGTAAGTACTTATTTTTTAATAAAATAATTCAGTTGGAAGTGTTTTATATGAATACAGAAGATTTGAGTTTGAACCACTACTCAGTCATGACATTCTCAGGATTGCCTTGCAAGACTCCCTCTTCAACAAGAGTATTTCCAGCCATGAATATCATGCATGTGGAAGCTGTATGCAAAAGTTTGCAAATCGCCTGGGAAAAGTTCTCTTTCATACTCCAGGTGTATGTGTGGAACACTTTTATAAATGGCCCAGAGAAATAGAAGTGGAAGTCTTCCAGAAGGCCATAAAATTCCTGCTGTTCTACTGGACAAAATAACTCCTGTCTCCTGTCCTTAATAGCCATCATTAAAGCTCAGTAGGATTTTTTTTTCAGACTGAAGTTGTTATATTTTAGTGAAAGAAGTAAAGAACCTGTGACCTAATGATATATAGTAGACTAAAATACATGTCATAACCTATCATGCTTTATGTTCTTTATCTAACATGTTTTTACTAAGGATGAAATATTTGGCATTATATGATTGACAAATGACTGAGCTTATGAGCTTACATTAGCAGACACTTAATCATTGCTAATGTCATCTATTATATTTAATATGTGCTATTGTAATAAAGTCCATTCTTTTAAAAGAATGCTGCAACAGGTTGTTACTTGTAGGTATATTAAAAAAAAAAAAAAACAGGAATGATAGAACATTCTTGGAAAATTAAATTGATGTCCTAAAATGATCTCCATGTCTTCCATATTTTCTGTATTTAAAAAGTCAGATACTGTATCTCATTGAAGATGCTAAAACAAAGGAAGCTAGGCAGCCCTACTGAAAGGGGCAAAATATAGTTCCTACGTCCAAGACAGAATTAATCTAGGTCTGGAAAGTACAAATCAGCAACAGTACTACAGTGGTACCACTGAAATTTACTATTGTATAACTTTCCTGAAGCCATTCTTATTTATTTTTACCCTGTTAAACCAAAACAACCACCCAGCAGTTTACAAAGATAGTCTTTGCTCTTCCCCTTGCAAAGTAAAAGATATAACACAAGATATAAAAGAATCAGAAGGAAAGGGGGAGAGGGGGAATGGGGCATTGGTTCTTGAACTACATGATTTAGTTTAAGCAGATGAGTCAGTGGTCTTACAGGTATTGCTCAGCACCTTCACCATTTGTTATCCTGTCTGAGGCTGCCAAGAATTGTTGCACAAAAACATCTGGAGATCTTCAGGGCCCCCATCTATGCTATACTGAAAAGAAAAAGAGAGGGGAAAAAAGGAGCCCAGCCAATAGTACCCATGTTATCCACCTATCTCTCTGTTACAGTTTGATGAATGACTTGCTGAATCCCAGTATTCCTTGGTTGTAACTTTACTTTAGAATTGTTACATGGCCTCTGAAAAAGGAACAATGATTGCTGATCTCAGCCCCATCCCATAGGTCTACACAGTGAAGGTCTATAAAGAGGCACTTAGATGCTATCATCTGTATAAGTGTAGATGTACAAATTATTCCATGCAGTTGGGAAGCCCAGTTTTGCAGGATTTCGAAGTAATGAGAAATTAATAAAGTGGTATTTGTAAGTACAGAATACTTGTACTCCTATAGGCTACAACATTAATTTTTTGAATCCACAAAGCTCTTAATTTTTCTCAGTTAAAATATTGTTTTCACTCATTTATCAACTATATTTTAGGTCACATCACATTAAAACCATGAAACAGCAGACAGTACCATATCAGAACAGCATAAGATACATATAAAGATGGTTGAATTAGTGGATGATTTGGAAGCTGAAGGAGATAAGGAAGGGCATTTCATTATGTAGTGCATTATTCTAGTAGTATGTTTTGAGCCTGAGTCTTTTGATTTTTATATACACAATGATAAGTCAGCCAAATTTGAAATCATAATATTAAGGGGGTTTCCAAGATGATTTTCTGGGATTATGTAACTTCCTCCTGCAGTATGTAGCTGCATAATTAAATTATGTTTGCACTGTTTGGTTTAATTCTGTTTGAAAGGGAAAAGAAAGAATAAAGATCTGTGTTTCAGAAATAGTACATAAATTATTTGAATAGGCTTATAATCAGTTTTACAATTTTCACCAAGAGTACCTGTGAATGTACTATTGAGCCATGTGCATTGATGGTCCTATATACATTATACCTGTTTTGTGGTTCTCCTTTTTCACAGCATGTTAAAGCTGTTAAGAGCAGCCTTAGAACTACAGTATTATTATCCCATGAAAGAATCTTGCATACATTAATAGTAGCCACTGTTGGAAATAAATTTTCAAATCCAGTTTCACAAAACTTGTACAAATGTACAAATCACCCAAGATTCAAATTTAGAAACTTGCTCTTAAGTATGAGTTGGCCTGTTACATGTTATAGTCAACAGCTTTCTCCTTAAATCTAGATTACTTTGGAAAGCCTACAATTATTTACAGTTATGAAAGTACAAAAGGTGTGTCTATGATTTCAGGTTCGGTCAGCACGGGGCTTCGGGGAAGCTCGCAGCCAGACCACGCGAACTCCACCGGCGGTA